GTAGTTGCCCTTTTATATCCAAACTTAGATTTTTTGTTGATTAAAAACATTGACAGCCAATCAAAATCAATCTGATTTTAAAGAAATTAAGCATTTAAAGAGGCAGATGACAAAAGAGCAGTGCAAACTTTTAATTAATAGAACGCTATCGTCCGCTCCTGTGGAAGCTAATATTGTTATCATTATACACTCTTAAAAATAAAGGTGCTTCAAAAGGTTCTTCAAGCGATGCCATAGAAGGACCATTTTTGTTTACACAAAGAACCATTCAGTCAAAGGTTCTTTAAAGAACCATCTCTTTCTTGCGTTTTTGTAATCTGAAGAACCTTCTTTTGCCACAAAGAACCTTTTGTGAAACAGAAAGGTTCTTCAGATGTTAAATGCTTCTCCTTCGCCATGTTTTGATCCAGACGTTCAGTACTCTTTCAGAAGATGTGTAATAGCGCCTCCTACCGTATAACAGTGAAAACATGGAAAGCCAGAAAATTCTGTCAATGGCGGGAAAGCGTTGTCTCATAAATGATGGAAAATTCCTTCAATGGCGGGGAAAGTGTTAAAGAATTTGAGCATTTAAAGAGGCAGATGCAAAACTGCAGCACACACTTATAATAAACAAAACTTTATTGTTTCTTGGTGTGGATGCTAATATAGTTTTCATTATCTTTATTGTTATCATTCTTAGTGTGAACAGGCCTTTAAACGGATTTAGGCAGTCGTCCAATTAGTTTCTCATAAAATAAGAAAAACCCAGCATTAACACTATTAAAATCTAATTTGTGTATAGAGTGGTGGTTCTTAAATGGGAGATTGAAGACTTTTTTCTTTGTCTTCTTTTGTTTAGGGCACTTAAAGAAACGTATGTCGGACTGTGAACATCCTCACAGAGCTTTGTGCAGAATATTATTTTTGCTCTGTCAGGGTGGTTTCCTGTAAGAGATGATGAGAGATGGCTGAGCTGCTCCGCTCTTTTCGTTTGCTCGCACATACAGGAGGGAGTTTGTTGTCGTACGTCTGTGTGGGCCCCTGTGAGTTACCTTGGGGCCTCGTAGGGAATTTATTGGAGAAGATGTCCCCTGCTAACACAGTCAGCACTTGAAGGATTTCTGTGTGTGTGTGTGTGTGTGTGTGTGAGAGTTTTGGGGAACACAGATGGAGGGGTGTTTACAGGGGTGCAGAGGGACAGGAGAGATGACAGGCGAGACTTGTTTAGACTGTAATCAGACTGGATGGACAGACAGCAGAGACACACATATGAGACACACACACACACACACACACACACACACACACACACACACACACTCTCTGATTGATTGTGATCATACGGAGGGTATCATCTTTATTTTGACATTAAGGGTTTTTAATCGACACATTAAATTATATTGATAAGACAGAACAGTCTAGGGAATGGAAAAGTCCATAAAATGAGTTGATTTAATAAATATTTTTATTTATAAAATATAATAATTTTAATTTTAATTACATATTCCATTCCAATAAAATTCAATCATATATATATATATATATATATATATATATATATATATATATATATATATATA